TTTTAACATTAACTTAACTTAGCTTAAGTAATTTTACCCCTTATCTTATACCAAACTCGATTTTGGTAGCTTTTTAGGTAACAGTATGTGTTTCGAAGAATTTTTTCATATGAAAGAGCGAATCTTGGTAAGAGTGTTGCTCAAACCGGTTTTTTGTGGGCGAGAACACAGGAGAATTTGCAGATAATGACTTACAAAAAGTCAGTGTTTGAACGCAGTCTAAACAATACTATCTTTACGCTTAAATATCTTAAATATATTTTTTGTATGCAATACTACACTTTTCGGCTAAAATAAAGGCCTTCGTTAGCTGGCAGGCTTCAAAAAAATTGCATTACTTAAATGATTCCTCTTGGACCAGCTAAATGTAATTTATTACTTTTTAGTATTTATGATTTGTAATTACAATAATTATACCTTATTCATTGCTCTTTCATGCTTTATGTGCTGTTTCCGCATTGTTCTCGCTAGCCCTGCAGTTTCTGCCACATATTTTCATATAAATTAACACAGCAATTATCTTTTAGAGATCTTCTAGTTCAAAATCGCGTAAAAATATGAAAAAGTTAACTGTTTCTTAACTAAATCGTAAACCGATCGCGCACAGAACACAGACTGCCTTCGTATGCCCCTCGAGACGTTCTCGTGGTAATCTAAAAACCAGTTATACAGACAACTGTGCCAGTTAGCTGCACTTGGCATAAAATATTTCAGCATCTTTACACAAAAATATATATTTTAATTGTATATACCTATTATATATATTTATCATTGTGCTTGTATGTGCGCTCACACACAACTTTAGCAGCTTTTTATCAGCTATTTATATCAAAGCTTCTGCTCACCAAGAAGATAACTGCAGCTGGATTGTGGCTTTAGATGCGTAATTTGTTTATATCTTGATCTAAAGCGGTGACTATGTGTAGGTAGGTATAGTATATGAAGGTATATAAGTAACTCCAATTTGCTTTATAACTGTTTATTTATTGTATATACACACAATGCTTAAGTTACACTTGTCTAAACAGTTGTTGTTTTGTATTAACAAAATAACGAAATATTTCAAGTTCAGTGAGTAGAGCAAAGCTTTGTGCACCTCAGTATTGAGGCTTACTTTGGGTGCGGAAAGATTTCCTTGAACTTAGAAAAATACAAAAGTAGGTTGTGTTTAATATTACTGATTATTGATGGAAGATGGCTCTCATGAAAATATTTGAATTTTAGCTGTGTTAGGCGAGACTATAAAGAACAAGGTAAAACGAACTTTGTTTTTAACGGTTGGTTAGTATGCTACAGTAATCCGATATCGGTGGTTCCGAGAAATGAGCAGCTGCCTTGGCTAAAAAGATTATGTGAAAAAGTTTTAATCGATTTCTTAAAAACTGCGGGACAAGTTCGTGACAGCTCGTCAAGGTAGGCTTACTACGTGGCATACTTAATACATACTTAATACAACTTAACGTAGCATAACATAACTCAGCATGGCATAAGTTGTGTCAGACAATCAGACTTATTATCCACTAGACTGATTTAGTTCCATTACAATAATTTATTTCGTGTCTGCTGCGTAAAATACACCATTTTGCGCACGACGATCATCGCCGATCATAGATCTTCGCCTAACTTGTCACTGCAATGCATGAGAATATTTCGTAACAGTTATCAAGGAGGATAGAAGTAGCGATTAGAGTCCGAGCGTTGCCAAGATGACAGTGCCTTTTCGATAAAAAAACCATCCAAATATTATTATACTCTCGCAACAAAGTTGCTAAAGAGAGTATTATAGTTTTGTTCACATAACGGTTGTTTGTAAGTCCTAAAACTAAAAGAGTCAGATATACTGTTATATATACCAAAGTGATCAGGGTGACGAGTAGAGTTGAAATCCGGATGTCTGTCTGTCCGTCCGTCCGTCCGACTGTCCGTCCGTTCGTCCGCCTGTCCGTCGTCCGTGCAAGCTATAACTTGAGTAAAAATTGAGATATCATAATGAAACTTGGTACACGYATTTCTTGGCTCCATAAGAAGGTTAGGTTCGAAGATGGGCAAAATTGGCCCACTGCCACGCCCACAAAATGGCGGAAACCGAAAACCTATAAAGTGTCATAACTATGCCATAAATAAAGATATTAAAAAGAAATTTGGCACAAAGGATCGCATTAGGGAGGGGCATATTTGGAAGTAATTGTTTTGGAAAAGTGGGCGTGGCCCCGCCCCCTACTAACTTTTTTGTACATATCTCGAAAACTACTACTGCTATGTCAACCAAACTGTATAGAATCGTTTCTTTTAGGCATTTCCATATACAGTTCAAAAATGTAAGAAATCGGATAATAACCACGCCCACCTCCCATACAAAGATTATGTTGAAAATCACTAAAAGTGCGTTAACCGACCAACAAAAAACGTCATAAACACTAAATTTTACGGAAGAAATATCAGAAAGCTGCATCCGGGCTTTTCTTAAAAATTGAAAATGGGCGTGGCGTCGCCCACTTATCGACCAAAAACCATATCTCAGGAAGTACTCAACCGATTTCAATGAAATTCGGTATATAATATTTTCTTAACACCGTGATGACATGTACCAAATATGGGTGAAATCGGTTCACAACCACGCCTGAAATCTCGATTATCACTTTATCATGCGAGAGTATAAAATGTTCGGTGACACCCGAACTTAGCACTTCCTTACTTGTTTAATAGATGTATTTATAATGGTAAATTAGTATAACAAAATAAAAGCGTAAACAAATAACATCACAAAATAAACACGCATTCAAGATTCACTTACCTAGACATATGGAAGAGAAATATTTTTTGAAAATGCTTTGGTTTACAATACTTTGCTACGTGGTATTTTTTTCCTAAATGTTTTTCTTAAATACAATGTTGCAATTATTTCTTTCTAGTATTTTTCTTATTTAATATATAATATACTTGTATTTTTCAGTCGGCATTGCATTTCCTACTTGTACTCATAAGAATTAGTAGCTTCTTTTTTATAGTATCGGGAAGCATCGGAAGTCGGAGTGCGGTATAAGTCTGTTGGTCCAGCGCCCTTTGAATGAGAATTGCCACCGCTGATACTCTTGATTCTCTCCTCTGTTTTTGCAAATACTATTTTAGGCGCTGATAGCTGTTCTAATCGCTCGAGTTCATCTCCCTGGATGTCAATGGGTGGCATACTGGCTAATACTTCAGCATCGTTGGTTGATATTGTCCAGAAAGCACATACATGTTATTCGAATTGTAGAAAGTAATTATTTGTTTCGCATACGTTTTTATATTCAGTCCTTGTATCCTTATTGTTGTTGCATACAGTATTGATACAACTCATTGCTTTTGCTATTAGAAGTCGCCGCACGCAGCCTCTATTTTTTCATCATTCTCTATAGAGCATTATAAATTTTGTTTGCTTTACCGGATGTATACGCTGTTCCTTAAATTTTAATTTGGAGTCCTTTATTACAACAGAGCCTTGGAGAACCACACTCGAGAAATATTATATATAAATGACGCAAAACAAAAAAAATTATTTATATGTTAATACGTAGGTGCGAGCTCATCACATGGGACGATCCTCTTAATTTTTACAAAAATTAAAAAATTAAAAAAGTGACAACATGCAATGCTATCCGACAAAGGTATAAAGAATCGAATATAAGAATACCAGCAGTAATTCTACCGCTACAGCACCAGTAGTAATTCGACATCACCGACTACGTCCTCGAACAGCACAAGTACTTATAAAGCAAAAATAAAAAAAACTACGGAATAGGCTGAGGGAGCAAAGGCGTCTCGAAAAGGAACGTCTCAGAAAAGCACGTCGGCCTTTCCGAAGGAAGGAACGGCAAATACAGCGCAGGAATAGACGCCGTTCATCAACAGCTAATAGAAGCAGTAGACGGCTTAATAGAAGCAATAAAAGACCCAACAGAAATAGATGAATCCGTCGTGGATAAACCAAACCAACGCAAATAAGTGTATGTTAAATATTATATGATTTTAAAAAAAATATTTTTATATATTTGTAGCTTATAAAATGGGCTTTTAATTACCGCTTCGAAGAAATTGTTGAAGTAATAATGACTTTCCAAATAGGTTGCTTTTAATTTCATCGGGTAAATAGCGAGCATTGGCTCGTTTTATTACTCCAGCGAACAATCGTTTATCTTATGTGGTCGATCCTAACAAAGAACTCACTTGAATAGCTTAGAACGCCATTTCGTTTATCTCCCAAAAAATATCATAAGACCGTTACAAATCGACAACGCGCATTGTTAATTGATTGATACGGCTAATGCCAGTTTCGTATATGTCTCCTCGTATGCCGAAGCTAAGATTACTGAGTTGTTTGTAGCTCAGTTTTGCAAAGGTTGATCAATGGAGGAGAACCTAACACCACCAACTCTCAGCTTTCTCCACACAATATTGACAGCTTGCAACCGTCAAGATTTTTAACTTTACCGCATGAATGCCTAGCGAACAAACTTCAGTAAAAATACCTACTATTGCGACAAGATGAAATTTGTAAAAGATAAATAGTTCAGAAGATCTCCTGCGTTCTACTCTATTGCAAAAGTATCTTGAGTTCGCACAGAATCATCGCGTCGACCTGCATCTCCTATTCGCACGTGAGGTTCATCGCTCCCTTATTATCGTGTGTTCTACAACCTGTCCCTAGTTGTGTGAGCTCTAACTACTCATTGACCTAACAGCATCCAAGCTATAAGGTTGGGTATCTCACCAGACGCCAACTGAAAAAGCTGTCCCGATCAAGACGTGGCTTCCTGGGCCTACCGTTGCGTTGGATGATGACGATAACAACTTATCTAATCCTTATCCTCGTAACGGGCATTAGGTATCCGTTACAACAGCAACAACAATGGGGGAAATATTTCAAATCCCTAATTCAATCTTTAAAATTTTTCTTTCACCAACTCATTTTTTTTTTTGTTTTTTGTGAAACATATCTGCAGAAAAATGAAAAACTTCTCTATATTTATAAGCATTTATTAACGAACTTCTACAACATTGAGAGGTATGTATGTGTTTCGAAAAGTTTTTTTTTTCCAATAATTCAAGTAACAATTAAATTTTATTTTATTTAGTGAAAATTTGGTTGCATTTCAGAGTTCACTCCCAACATATTTGGACGCCTTGGGCTTCTTGCTGCTTCAGCTCACTCAAAATAAATTCCTTGAACTCTGCATAAGCCTCATCAATTTCGACATTATGTATGATCTTGTGGAAGTTTCCAGGTTTCAAACCATAAGCTATCTCTGTCTCGGCAGCGGCAAGCCGCTTCTGCAGCGTCTCCTCGGTTTCGCTTTGACGCTTGCGCAAACGCAATTCCAAATCTTTGATGGTTGGTGGATTATTAAACACCAGTATGGGATTCAAATCGGTTTTCTTAATTTGCTCCACACCCTGCGGTTCGATATCCAAGACACACACTTTGCCGCTACTCTGGATCTCACGCACCGCGGCCTTGCTTGTGCCGTACATATTACCACTAAAAGTAGCGGTTTCTATGAATTCATCATTCGCTATCTTCTCGCGCATCACATCCTTTTCAGTAAAATAATAATCTTTGCCGTGTTGCTCACCGGCACGTGGTGTGCGTGTCGTATGTGAAACGCTGAAACCAAAGGTTTTCGGATACTCCTCGAAGAGTCGCTTAAGCAAAGTACTTTTGCCGGAGCCAGATGGGCCGCATAGCACTAATGGACGTGGTCCTTTATTGGCCAATTGAGTGTACATTTTAAGGGTGATTTCTTTCTTTAATCCGACTGCTTTTAATGCATGCAACATACTACGTTGCAAAGCGCTTTGTAGAATTCTAAATTGCCTGTTGGTTGTTTGTTACTTCTTATTAAGCGGCTCACTGCTGTTACGACGAACTTTTTATTGTTAGTCAAAATTGCTGACGTAGATCCTAAAACGATATAAAAAATTTACTTGTAGCCCAGTTTCGCAGTTATTTCGGTGCTATTGCTACAATACTCAGAGAAGCCGGAACTATAAGCTATTTCCTCAATTGCTAGTTATAAACATAATAAAGCCGTTGCAATAGATAGTTCTGGTGAGAAATCGTGTCTAACAAATTCATAAAACAGTATTGGAAGCTTGAGTAATCTGTTAAACAGGCATATACTTAGGATTAATCACAAAGCGGAACTGTTAATAATGGCAGTTCGAACTGTCTAATCGGAATGTAGCCAGTTTCCAAAACAGTTGAAATGCTTTAAGCTGTGCATATTTTTAGCTCTAAACATTTTTTTTTCATATGGACATATAAGAGACTTAACCAGCCAACCATAACCCCTACCCTTCGACGACTTTTGCTAGACAATGTATAATGACTTCTGGATATATTGGGTTTCTATAAAAGATATGCAAACACGCATACCAAAATTAGTGAGTATTATGTATATGGTAGACCTGAAGAATGATCGATCCGATGGACAGAATAGTTTTATAATTGATATAAGCTAATTTTTTTTTCATTCTAGGTAAATACTATAAATTTTTTGAAACTCTGGGTGTTACTCATAAGACAGGAAGGACACCGCTATAAGCTCTAAGGACAAGAGGTATTTGAAAACGGTTTGAAATCGGATTAATGATGGTAGTTTTACTACATTTTTCAGCACACCTTTATACTTACATAATTATATTAGTGAAATTTACGACTCATTCGATTGAAATCACATTAAAGGGGCCATTTTGAGAGATTTGCAAATAATATTTTAGAGGAATTTGTGACTCATTCGTTTGAAATCATACGAGATAGATATTATTGAGAGAGTTGGAGCAACTGTTATTGCCCGTCATATATCTTTATGAATGAAAAAGAAGAGTTTATAAAGCAAAGTAATCCTTGGCTTGGAAAAAACAGGTGATTGTGAAAGAGGAAAAAATGAAGGTGAGAAAAATTTGCATGGAAATGGTTACCTGAAATTCGAACACACAAACTGGATATATAACTGTTTAAAGCTGGTCAGAATTATATTAGGGGTACAGAATTCTTATTTTTGCTATCCCTCCCTTTCTGTTCAAACTAAAATATATTTCACTCGCAAGAAGCACGCACGAAAATGAAACGTGAGGAAAGTAAGAGATAGCAAGCGCTTTTCTAACAGAGTTGTCCGCTTGGCCGATTTTTACTTTGGCTATTGATGAGAGAGAAGGGAAGAACAAATATTTGGCTAAGCAGTGTTGCCTAACTGCATGTTTTTTTATGAATATTTAATTTTTTAATTATTATTTAATAGATACGTGTATATAAGTAATGTTTCGTTAAGGGATTAGAGCAGTTAGAATTAAAAAAAATTGTTTGTGCATTCTCTTAAAGTAATATGACATCTTTGAAATATATTTTGAAAATTCGAAATAAATTCGGTAAATACTTTTTGAGCTATCCGATAGTTAGCTAAGTGATCTTGCGCGCTATGGAACCAAAGCGTAAACTTTCATCAGCTCTAACGATTTATTTTTGAATTTCTGATTTCGAACGACCGTCACGAAATTCCTCTTGGTGTGATGTACGATTTCGATTGAGTTTACTGTACTAACGATAAGTACTGGCTCTTGATGAAGCTGCAGCGCCAAAAACTGCATTAAATTCATCGTTGCACTGTTGCTAAGTTAATCCACGTCGAAAGTTTTAAAAAATTATCGCTTGAAAATGTTCGCATTTTAATTTTATTTTATGCCCGAGTTGAATATTTCAAGTTACTGTAAGCTATACAAATAGCGATCGTCAAAATGTGCTGAGTATATATTAGATCAAAAATATTCAACTTTACGATAAAGTTGTGGGTTGCCAGATTGCAACACCCTAAATATAAGAGGCAACCTAGGTATATTGCTCAAAAATTTTATTTGTGGTTAAACTGTTAATAAAAAGCATGCGCACATGCCGCCAGAATTAACGGTTTATGAAACTTAATTTTTGATTTGCAATTAAAAATGCATGATTTATTGCTAAAAAATACGAAAATTGTTACAAATTTTGAATATTTAAATTATTTTTTTTATATTTTTTTTAATCTTTTATATATTTTTTTCATAACATTAAAATATTCTTGCGTAAAGAAGTCTTACAGTTTACGAAATTGCTCCAAATTTACACGAAATTCATCACCCAGCCTTAAGTCAAGGCTGACCACTAAGCTTAGCGTTGATTAAATTATTATTCTTTCCGTCTCTTTTCGCAAAACTACTAACGGAAATATTACGTAAAGGCAACACTTCTGGCATAACTAGAATTACTATTAACTTTAATTTTTATTTTTATTTATTTTGAGTGATAAATAGTTGCCGTTTCGATTTCACTTGTCGTGAGTTGTTTTTGGCTGGTGTGTTGTTGCATTACATCACCGTTTCGTTGCAGATGTTTTGCAAAGTTGGTCGTTAACAAACTGGTTGTATTAGACTAAAGCTGTTTGCTTAGCAAATACTTGACCGCTTACATAAATTGGCATTTGCATTTAGTTGCAAGCTTGTGGCATTTTTAATTAGAATCGTATTAATTAGATTATGTAATCAGTGGCGATTTCTTAAGTGATTGTATTTGACTAGTTGATAGAATAATTAAAACAAAACTCATAAATCTGCTCTTAATGAGGTGTTTCAGCAAGAGAAAAGAATGGACTCATTTATATAAGCTTCCACATGGAACGTTTCAAGTTTAGCAGAGTGAAGAGGTGATTTGCTGCGGATACTATGTAAATATGTAGAATCAGACCACAGTAGTTTCCTTAAGCAGGTACAATTTGGTATGCAATCGAAGTACTGCCGTGCTTTTCTAAGGGTTTAGATACAGTCATATAGAACTGGTTGACCTTTCCCGAGACCCGAGAATATCAAGCTACTTTCGAATGAGACCCATCCTTAAAGTGAAAAACATTTGAAGTTCAAGAGAGAAAAGTTGATGGGTGCTCAACTGATAAAAAGTTTCAAGGTTTCACCGGAGACTTAAATCTGGTACCGCGGCGAGCAGTTATCCCTTAGAGTGCTTGGAAGCAGGTGAAGTGAAAACAACCCGGTACTTTCTACTCAATTGTTCAGCTTTGGCAAAAATGAGCTTGAATTAACTCGGCAGTCATACCTTCAGCAAACCATTAGAATTTTTGATTGGCTTTAAGCGTTTTGTCAATATATGAGGGTCTTTGTGATAAATTTTATAGTGGTTTTAGATATCGCAACGAACAGGGATCTTAGATCATTGTTAGGATCAATCATTTATCGTATTTGTGAGGATCAATGATCAATCGCTACACGCTTTGCCATCAATGTTCTCTGCATGGTTTATTTGAACGGACTGCGTCACAAAAATCATATATTTCGCAAGACTGTCAGCTCACATCCACAGTGAATCACAAACTGGTTCCAAATATTATTTCACTCAACTTTTTACACCGAAATCAATTTCATTAATCATTTTAATGAGCGTTAAATCCGCAATCACTTCATTGAATTATAGATTTTATTATGCCGCAAAGCCAGAGGGAACAAACAGCACAGTTATGAAGTAATACTCAGAAATGCTTGAATTAATTGAGCAAAATTCCAGTTGTTCGCCTTCTATAATTTATTACAGGCAATTCGTAGTGTTGCCATTGACAGTTATGAAAGAACAGGTGGAGTGGGAAAAAAGAAAAAAATACTATAACAAAAATGCCATAAATATTTGTAATAAAAAGACGGACAGACAGACAGATTTTTATTGATGGAATGCGGATCAAGTGTGGCAGGTCGCAGAGTTCTTTTGCAATAGCTAGAAAGTAAAGTTCAATGGAATACATTGGCTTGCAAGTATTTCGCGAATTTTCATATGGAAGCAACTACAAAGATAGTTTTTTCATAAAAATAAATAAAAAATATAAGGCACCTCTTTAAGATGTTATAAACTCTTGCTTTATTAAAAAAATCGCTTATGCCAGTGTTTTTATTGTATACCTCATATGCCTCTTCTACCCTTTCAGTTACTGCCCGAGCTTGTGCCATAAATTAAGCTCCGTAAAAGCTTAAGGTTCTACAGATCAACAATTTGTGTCAAAAATTGAAAGTTTTGTATGGTTTTATGGGTTTTACGGCATTCAGACTTTAACCCAATAAATAATATCAAAAGCAATAGTCAAGTCAGGATATTCCTCTTCACCTTGGCATATATTTAAACAAGCTTATTGCACAAATTAAGCTCCAGTAAAGCTTAAAGCTTATTTAACAAGAATAACTTAAAGTTATTTTTTATTAATTATTTGTAAAGATTGTGATATTTTGTAGAGAAAAGAAAAATCAGTATTCTATAATAATAATAATAAAAAAAAAATATTCTAGTGAGCAGTAATTGTGCGCTAAAAATGTATTTTTCATGTCAGAAATATTGGTGCGAGAACTTTTATAGCTTTCCATAAAGTTCTGAGATGATTTAAGCGAACTTTTGTGGAAACACTCAACCAAACAAATTGAATTGCTTCTTTAAAAATTGCATTATGGCTCAGTTCGGATCACTGCAGCATCTAGCTGCCATACAAACTAGACGATCCAACTTACAACCTTGTTTGGACAACTTTTTTATATGTCAACTGCTCTTCACGAAATTTTGCTTAAATTATTACATTAGACGTCGCTACAATCTCCCAAGAAATTGTTCAGATCGGACCACTGTAGCAGATAGCGATTAAAAACAAGAAGTAACTCCTTTATACCCTTCATTGTTATAAAAAATGCAACTGTGAAGGGTATTGTCTCTACGGCACTGCCATAGCTAACGTTTTTTCTTGTTTTCTCTTCAGTTAGCGGTTAACTGGCAGCAACACCTGCGACAGCAGCGTGTAAAAATAAAAAGTACCAAACTTGTTGCTGAAATTGAAAGTAGACACTTTATTTTCTTCCAAAAAATCACTTCCTTAACAAATTTCTGCGCGA